CAATATATTCTCAACAAAGTTTGCATATTCAGTTATATACCAATTGAAACATGGAATAGAAATAAACGTGATGATGCAAAGGATATGGAGACTAACTATCCCCCCAAAAGTGTCAGTATTTATATGGAGACTTTGGTGGAATGGGGTGCCAACATGGGAAAACTTACAAAGAAGGCAAATCCATATACAGGGAGTTGACAATACATGCAAATTCTACAATGAGGAAACAAAATAATTTTCTCATATTTTCTTCTCTTGTAGTGTTATAGACACTTTATGGAAAGAGTGTTATGATTGAGGTTATATTTCAATTGTATTACCATCTAACACATTGCAACGTTTCCTCCAGGTGCCATTTACAAGTCCGTCGAAGGAGGTAACTAGAAAGTGGGGGGTCATTTGATGTGCAATAATATGGAATATTTGGCAGGCTAGGAACAATTGTGTTTTTAGAGGAAAAAAATTTCAATATCAACAAATACTGCAAGATATAAAGGTGTCGACATGCAATTGGCTATCAATGGACAAAAACTTTAAATACAGCTTTGTACAATGGACAATAAATCTAGGTGATTGTATATTCCTAACAGGTAATCGAGGGTGGATCAACCATAAGCAAAGTGAAGGGCGGATGAAAGCATGTGCATATGGCTAATTAGACTTGGCAGAGCGAGTAAACAATGGTTGCCATAGGGCTAATTGAATTATATAGGCCCAATTCATACATGACTTTAACAAGCACTTGGTGGGATCGCACTTGGTTTAAGTGCTACGAGGATATCTACATACTTGGTTATATAATAATTTGACTTTTGGAGTTATATTATATCTAACCATATATCTCCTTTGTAAACTAGGTTTGTGGCACCCTTAGTACCACACAATGAATGTTATTTTTGCTGTTTCAAAAAAAAAACTACAGTAAATAGACAATGCAACACTTTCCTGTAATTAAATTATTAATATATTTAAAAATATTAAATTTTATATTTCTTAATTTTATATATTAAATTTGTTGATAATTATTTTTTACATTAATATTTTACTCTTTATATATATGATGATGATTTATTAATTTTTATTTTTTTTAAAAAATCTCCCCCTAACATATGATCTTTATTGTACGGGATCTACCATTAAATTGATGTGCTACTAAAATGTTGCAAAAAGAGTACGCTATGTAACTTAATACCAAACGATAAAGATTTGAGAAGAAAAAGATACCGACCTAAACTGATTAATAGAAATGCAAAACATATTCTGGTCATTAATAATGTGCATCCATAAACTACTAA